AGAGACCACTTATGTATGCCTTCCTGATGATGCCATTGATCCACAGAGTCCTCATGAATATGAAACCGAACGAGACCTCCAAGTGGCCTCACCAGCACTGTTTGGACATGCTCCTGGACCTTTTCGGTAGCCACATGACTGCTGTTCTCTCACTGGTTGGACCTGCTGTCCCAGAACTATGGCATTCTCCTATACCTGAACTTGGAGGCTTGTACTTGACAGCTTGTACTATGGCTGTTACATAGTTGAATGTGGAAGAGTGGGAATGTTTGATCCAGGTGCAACAGGTTTTACTGGGCAGCAAGAAGCCTTTCACCAGAGCGACATACTGGGCAGATTGGAAGATTTGTGCGATGGGCTTTGGATTGATACATTTGGGCCAAACAACTTGCTGCAGGTGATCCTGCGCCTCAAACTGTAGGACTTGTCCCTATCATCAGTCATGGTCCACCTGGCTGTTTTTAAGCCCATTCCAAGGCAAGTTAGTCTTTGCACATGACATGACAGCTGAGTTCTTGAAAGGTCTGGAGCATCTTAACCCTCACTTTGGGGATCCTGTCCCTCTCTGGAATTTGAATTGCATGCTGTTGAGGTTTCTGGGACCTCCCTTCAAACCTCTGGCTTCCTGCTTTCTTCTCTCTTCCTGGAAGGTTGAATTCCTGATTGAGGTTGCATCTGCCCTCTGAGTATATGAGATCAGAGCACTTACCTCAGCTTCTACAGTGTTCTACAAATATAAGGTTCAGTTGCAGCCTCCCCAGGTGTTCCTGTCCAAGGTAGTTTCCCAGTTTCATACTTTCCATGACATTTTTTTACCCATCTTCTTTCTGAAGTCACATAAATCTGTAGTGGAGAGCAGGTTACATGCCCTGGACATCCGGAAGGTGCTAGCCATCTGTATTGATAGGACACAGATGTCCTGTAAGTCAATGCAGCTGTTTGTTGCGGTAGCAGATAAGATGAAAGGGCACTAGGTATCTGCTCAAAGGATTTTGTTCTGGATCACAGATTGCATCCAGTACTACTACAAGCTGGTAAAAGTGCCTACATTGGCAAAAGTCGAGGCACACTCAACTAGAGTGCAAGTGTCATTGGCAGCCTTCCTAGATCAGGTGCTGATCCAAGAGATCTGTAGAGCTGCTACTTGGTCATCTGTCAACACGTTCATGTCCTATTATGCACTTTACACAGTGGGCTTGGGCTGGTTTCAGCAGAACAATGCTGCAAGCTTCAAGACTGTGAACTCTGAGCTTGCCTCCATTGGCACTGTTTGAGAGTCCCTTTGTTTGGGATCAACACGAGCAAGTACTGGAAGAAAAAATGGTTACCTACCTTTCATAGTCATTCTTCTAGATTGATTGCTCATGTCCATTCCATTACCTGTCCTCTTGCTCCTCTATTCAAGTTGCCAGTAAGAAGGAACTAAGAGGACATAGGGTCAGTGGAGCCTAATATATCAGCTCATGAGCATGGATCCCAGAAGGTGTGAGCAACACATCTCAAAGAACAACAGTTATGAAAGAAAGCTAGGTAGGCAAGCAATTGTTTTTACCAGCTTGATGATGGATGAGTTCTGAAATGACATCAGCACCTAAAATGGGTCTTAGTAGCTATATTACAAATATTTTATTATAAATCAGTAATTTCCAAACAAATCCATAGTCTAATTCTGGATGGTGTCCTTTGCTGGGAAATATATGATTTTTTAAAAAGGTAGTTCTGTACTCAGTGCAGTATTGAATAAAATGTCTTGGTAAAGTAGAGAAAATAAATATTACCTTGTTTGATGTCTGGATCACTGACATGTTATCAGGACCTCTGTGCACTGCTTTCTTGAGTTATACTGTGTTCCTGGGGGGTATGTATTCTTAATCTAACTAGAAATAGCATCAGTGAAAAGGCAGCTCTTTTTGGCTGGGCTAAGTTCTGGGCGGTTGCTATCCAAGGAAATTTGTGAGAGGATAAGGTATAAACGTACATGCATTTTCCACAAGAAGACAGTTTGAAATATTTTGCTTTATTAATCTGTTCACTCTTTCTCTGTAGGTAGCATCCTGGACAAAATATTGGGCAGCACTGTGTGGAACCCAGCTTTTTTACTATGCCGCAAAGTCTCTGAAGGCTACAGAGAGAAAACATGTATGTGTTAATAGTGCATCTTCTAACACTGCCTCCCAAAATTGAAAGTAAATGCGCTTTCCTGGTACTCAGACCAATGAAATAGTCCAGGACCGGTGCGCCTGCAAGTGAAAACTGTCTTGTCCTTCAGTCATTTTGTGTCATCTCACATTGCTAAAATGTAATAGAAGTGGCCACTGTAATAGGCTATACAGGGAACATGTGCTTAGCATGTGTCATTTGAGCTCAGTGAAATGTTATATTAAACACATTAAGGAAGACATGGAAAAAAAGCAATGACTAATGGTCTTCCTGTGTTTTTACCTATAGACCATATCTTCCTACAATATCTAATTAGAATGTATCACTGCCTCTTCCCAACACCCAAGCAATCAATGACAAATATGAAAACTGAAATGTGTTAAAGAACTGGAGAGTGTATTAAACTCCAGCTTTTGTGGATTATTCTTCCTGCCTGGCCCATCTAATCCAGTAATACCTGGATTGTGGTTTGTGAACGTCCAGTGGTTTCAGAGCAGTTGGTGGTATAGAGTTAGCTTGTCATGTGATCTGGCTCTCCTGTCTGGTTTCCAGCTGTTAAATTACATTGAAAGAAGTAAAAATTAGCTTAAATGCTTCCTTATTACCACTTTTTTACATAACATTTCTTGGGCAAATAAAGCAATTGCTTATGTCATAAGGGATCTGCCAGAGGTGAGGGGAAGGCAGTGTTGACAGCTGGCACCCAGGCCCTTTAAATTGCTGCCACAGTCCTGTGTGGCATGCTGCAGAGCCCCAACTTGTGCGCTCCAGATGGTACTTGGGGGAGGAGTGAGGTGTTCCAGGCTGAGGGCTGACTCTCCTTGCCCCACTCCTTCCGGGAGCACAGATTCTGCTCCCGTCTCCACCATCCCTAGGGGCCCTGCGAGTCTCTTGGCTTGCCTGTACCATAACCAGTGGAAGGAAACAAGGTTGGCCTATGTAGTCATGAAAAAGGAAGTGGTTGTATCTGTTAAGAAATGGAAAAAATTTGGGAGGCCCTGATGGCATTTATGTAGGGCTTAACTATTTTCAGTGTTTTAAATCTTCATTAGCCATCTGAACTTTGTCAGCTATGACTGTACATTAGGTCATTGCTTTTGCATAAAGCTTTATAATTTTAGAAAATTAGAAGCTGTGCTCTGAAATCCTTGAAAAGGGGCTATCTTGGTTTTTTTCTATAGTACAGAATGTTCTTTTCCTCTTATGTGCAGAGGGCAAAGGTTTGAGGCTTAGGTATTTTTATTAAAGGATCTTGGATCTCAGAGTTCTACTCTACTTTCTGTATAAGGATCCACTAGAAATTGTCTATCATTTATATAATAAAATGGGTGTCTTCCAGATTTATTTACACTAGTTAATTTTATCAGGAAACCAAATATTAATATGTAAAGTAGCTTAATAACAGCTTCTTAGTGCACTAAAAAGGCTTACATGACTTCATTATTTTTTTCTCGTCACTTAAATTGGCATTCTGTTTGCTTAGCTGACAGCAATGCTCCTGATTAATTAAATCTGCCAACTCCTACTGTTTAGCTTGAAACAAATGAAGTGCGTTTTTTGACAGATTTATATATGGTATTAATGAAAAAGTTTACATAGTCAAGTCTGCCTCACTATAAGTAGAATTAACAGAAAACCATGGATAGTACAAATGATTATATTAAAAGGACAATCAAGAAAATAATGTATTGCTAGCATTATATTGTCAAGGGTTTATTGCTTGTTTTTCTGGAGGCACTGAAAATTGACTGTCAGTATGTCATGTTTTGTGCTTCTGTTGCTGACTTGATGCTTTAGGTTTTATTCCAGAGAGTGTACTTTTCAAAAACAGAATCATCATTCTATAAATCTCTCTTGGGCACCGCTGTCTTGCCCCTCCGCCCGCCCCCCAATGCTGCTGCCTCTGAGTGGGGGGAGAGGCAATGCTTGCATGTAACTGTGAAGGTTAACCAATGAGCTCACCGGTTAACTGTTTAAACATGTATGCTAACACATCTCTTCTCTGCATCCAATGAAAGTGCTACTAGTCAGCACACCCTATAAATCTGGGTATGTGAGTACAGTCACAAAACTACCTTAACCTGGAAGACTGTTTTGGTTACGACAATCTTGTGGCCCACTGACATGAACAGCCACTCATGCAGCCCATCCACTAGCCTAGGTTGCCTATAACTGCCCTAGGAGGAAGCAAATGTTCGTTTTGAGCAATCTATGTAGTGGCCGAGGAGGGCATCTCTATCTCTGACCCAGAGCTGGAAAGGTTGCATACACCTTGTCCTTCAGGTATGCAGCATCTACACTGTGAGGAGAGACTTGATACTAGCAAATAATCCCTGAGCTAATGACATAAAAGGAGTTGGTAAAAGCAGATGACTCTCATCTTTCTAAAATACCCATTTCAGTGGGATTTGCTAAACCAAGCACTTGAAAGATGAGTCCTTCAGAGGCTGAACATGTAGTGGGCTACTCATCCTCACATAAGGGAGAAAGGCAAGAATAGTTTACAAGCCCAAGGTGTTGATTCTCCTTGCCCCAAAGGAAATGACCAACTAGGCTTTGTCCTCTTTTTCCTCTAGGGCAGGGTTGGACAAAATACAGCCTATGGGCCACATTCTGCCTGCCAAACTGCTGGATCCAACCCTCAGGCAGCCCAGTCCAGCCCCTGGATCGTCCCGCCAGGACCCGCGGGCACAGAGCAGCCAACTGCTTCAGACCACAGTGCTTTAAGCAGCTGGCTGCTCCTGTGGCTCTCTGCTCTGGGTGCCGAGGGGAGGGGAGGGGAGGCTTTGCAGAAACCAGCCAGTGGGATCTGAGAGATTTTACTAGGGGCAGGGGGGAAGCATGTGAAGCGTCCCACCCCCAGCACCTGGAGCAGAGAGCCACAGGGAGCAGCCAGCTATTTAGAGCAAGCTGGTGCTGCAGCAAGCAGGGAGCCTCCTTCAGAGTCCTACAGGGCTGCTGGCTGGAAACTGCCTAAGGTAGTGCCTCCCAGCAACATCCTGGCTCTGGCACCCCAGCTCCTCCTCCTCCCCAACTCTCCACCACCATCCTGTAAACCCTCCTATACTCCTCCCCCAAGCCAGAATCCTCTCCTGCTCACATACTTCCTCCCTGGCTCTACACCCCAATCCCCAACCCAGATCACAACCCCCATCTTCACCCAAATGCCCTCTCAGACCTCACACCATCTCCTGCACCCCAGGCCCTTATCCGGTGTGCCCTTCTGCACCCAACGTCCTTCCTAGACCCTGCACCCTCCCCACAGAAAAGTGCGGCCCTTGAAACACTCCTCCCCATCAAAAAGTATTTCCCCCCTCCTTGCTCTAGGGGAAAAGTTCCGCAGCTCAAATTGAACTTCAGATACCTTGTCACATCCTTTTCCACCAATGACAAAGAATCATTCGTGCTTAAACGCCATCATTCAGAAACATCTATGGATAAAATTATGGCAGAGTAGGAAACCCCCAGGTAAGAGCGGGAGCTCCATTAAATATAGTTTTAAGGTTCTATAACTTGTAAAGGAGGGAAAAAAATCAACGCCCACCCCCATCCGTCATAGATGCAGTTACATCTCTCAGGACACAGAAATCTCTTTTACAATGGATTTTTTTCTCAAGGTCCAAACCAGTAAATCTTCCAGACTTCTTCATCAGCCACACGAGCTAATTTCCTTTCGTATGGCCATTGTTACATGGGCCAGCAATGTGGAAGAATCAGTCACATCCAAAGTCAAGTCTGGGCTATGTAAGGTATTCGAGGCTAGTAATTTCATGGCAAATGACAGTGAATTTTTAGAAAGACGTGTTGCCTCAAATATAGCTTCATGCAGAAAGCTGTGACAGAGGTGTAGAAAACAAATGGGTAAAAAAAACAACTCCTTTTCTCTAAGTTCACAGTAGCTGAACTTTTCGGAGAGACATTTCATAGATGCGTGGCAACAGAAAGAGGAAGAAGTCCCTTTTGTTCCACAAGGAGACGAAAAAGGAGAGCCAAGATTCTACAAACCAGGCTCGCTTTTCATGTCAACAGTGAAAAGCAGAGGAAATCTGCCATCATATACAAGCTGGACCTCCCTGGTCCGGTACACTCAAGACCTGAGTGGTCCTGAACCATGGAGTTTGCCAGACCAAGGGAGGTCAAGGCTCCCCATCTGGCTGTAGGCTCTGCTCCTGGCTAGGGCTGTGCTCCTTACTGTCTGCCCTGCTGCCTCCAGCCCTGCTGCACTAGCACAGGCTGCACACCCAGCCGCTGGCCCCATTATCTCCAGCCCCACCTGCTGCGCTCTCCACCACTAGCCCTGGCTGGTTTTACGCTCCCCACCAGCAGCCCTGGCTGGGGTGCACTGCTCGGGTTGCACCTCTGAACCTGGCCAGCCTGGGCTCTCTGGTCCAGCAATATCCATGGACCTACCGGACCACAGATGTTGCCAGACCAGAGACTCCTAGATTTTAGAGGTTCAACCTGTACTCAAGAGGCAGCTGTTAATCTAAAGAAAGGAGAGATACAACTAATTGTTCTTTCATTGCTTGCTCATGTCCATTTCATGTTAGGTGTGTGTGTGTGTGTGTGTTTCCCTCAGTGGTATCTCTAGGTGACTGGCTGTAATGCACGGACTGTTACTGTTACTCTAGCAAAATTTTGCCTTCTCACTTGTCATACAAACTTTAATGCATATAGTTGTTTTCTTCCCTTTGGGCACATCTAGGCAGCAGGGCTAAAGCCAAAATAAGCTACACAACTTGAGCTATGTCTATTGCGTAGCTTAAGTTGAAATAGCTTATTTTGGCTTGTCTACACAGCAGGAAGTCCGAGAGAAAGCACTCTTCCTCCAACTTCCCTTGCTCCTTGTAAAATGAGAGCAAGACATCCTCCAGCTTGACATTATTTTGTCAGTTATTCCGAAATAACACTGTTATGTAATTGTACCCTAAGTGTGTTAGTTTAGTATCCCAGAAAGGGACTTTTCCTCATAAGACACATCCTGCTCCTTGGGATTTAAGAACTGCGACTGGTGCAAAAAGCCTACACTAGTCAGTGATCCTCAAACTAGCTGCCTATGCTTTCTGGATAAGGCCCATATTAGCAACAAGTGTCGCATTTATAAAAGCTTTAAGTCACACACCAAAAAGGAGAGGGTCATTAGGCTTAAAGTCTTATTAATGGAGTCAGTGCTGACTCTAGCACCAGACCCAGCTCCAACCAGGATCAGCACACAGCACTGCCACATTGGTGTGGAGAATTCAGCCGGGTCTGTTATCGGAGCAGCAGGTATCTTACCCAGCACTGGCTCCTAAAAGGAAGCAAGCACAGGCCATTCCCCCCTCTCATAAGGGCAAAGACAGGGCTGATGGTGAGTCTGGACCGAAGAACGGCGGCTCATCCCCTCCAACTGGGTGTAGAGGCCCAGTTTCTGGTGAGTGGGCCAGCCCTCTCAGGCACATGCCAGCCACTCCGGACAGTGGCACAGGGTCAGACACCTCACAATGTCATTGACCCTAGAGGCCCTTCAAGCAGAGTTGGACTTCTTGTCCCTTCCAGCCATCCGTGCTGGTGTTAGCACCCAATTGAAGGGTTAAATCTGCAGTTGGACTTCCTCCTCAGTTCCCTTCAGTGTGGCTCTGCTCACTCTTGCAAGGAGCATTCTGTCTGTTTTCGGCTGTACAGAGCCACCATGAAACTGATGTAAGGCTGCCCATGGCACTGGTCTCCATGCTCCAGACACCATTCTTCGAGCTCAAAGAGTCCATCACCCATGAGGTAGTACAGACCAGAGGGGCACACAGTGCCACAGCCCTGGTACTGGGAGCATTGTAGCTGCTTGTCCTCAGTGTGGAGCCTCACTTGTGAGAATCATCATCAGGAATGCAGGTGCTGGTCTCCCACATACAGATTCGGGTTCTCACCCTGGTGTCCTTGTCTCAGCTGTGCTCATGCTCACGCCACCAGTTGCCAAACATTTGGCATTGATTGCTGGGTTACTCTACAGATCCACTGAATGCCATCACCCATCACTGGGGACTCAATGCTCTTGATCATCCCTGCCAGACAGATCCTTTATGACCCATAGTGATGAACATAGGCAGGAGTGGGATGCCTGATCTACCTCGGTATGGTCTCAGTCCCCCAAGTATGGGACTTCCTCCCTGGCTTTAGAGTCCAACCAAGAACTGCTGGTCAAGGGCCTCTGTCCCTGCCACCACCTGTCTCAGTGGCACCACCAATCAACCTTTTGGCCTCAGGGACAGTGACCAGTACTGTGGCTTGTTTACCTGTACTCCATGGGGCTTCTCAGAACTCCATAAGGGCACAAGCTGGCCGATGAGATGAGCATCCTCAATGAGCATCTTCCACCTACAGGAGCCAGAGTCTCCTCTGCTCAGGACTCCCAGACAACCCAGCCTGGGGAAGAATGCCCAGTGGAGCAGGCCATGGAAGTGGCTCCTATTGTGCTAGCATTATTTGGCTTCATCCTTAGACAAAGCTCTTGTGAGGCCATCACCAGTAGTCTGTCAGAACCAGGCCAAAGCTTTCCAAGAGCAGCTGAAAAGAGTTGTCTCAAACCAAGGGTTGCTAATGGAAGAGCTGGAGGAGCCCTCAGATACTGTTTAATGTCTTGAATGCAGCGGCCCTAGCCAGAGTTGTGCTGCCAGTACTCCCTCCTCCCCATTGCTCCCCCTGATATCTATGCAGCAGAGCAGAAGTACTGTGTGCCCACCAGTGTGTCAGAGTAGCTTTATATCCACCCTGCCCCAAACTCCCTGCTGGTGTCAACAAGATGGGGATAACCGGGGTCTGTTCCCAAAAACAAACAGGCTTTTTGGGGGAGAGGGTTATTCATCAGCAAACATTCAGCCTTTTCCCCAGCAGCATGGTCAGCATAAGCAGGACCTGTTCCCAAAGAGTCAAAGTGTTCTGATGCCGGCAGGGTCTTCAGATCTCTGCCTCTATGCAAGCCAGTTGTACCCCCCCTCCCCCCCAAAGGGGCAAAAACATCTGTTCTGAGGGTGCGCCTGTGTGCAACATTCCATTTGTGACACCAGGTCCTGACCTTTCCTGCTTCTCCAACTGCTGTTCTTTTTTTCTCCAGGCCTGGGTGTCCATAACGTTGGACTGCTGGGTCCTCAGTATTATAGCACAAGGTCTATGCCCTACAATTTAAAATTCCACACAACCTTTCTCTGATCTCCATCATTCCCTCCCTGGATCTAGGCGACTGGTATGCTGACCTCAACTTGAAGAACGCATACGTTTATGTTTCAAAAGGGTAGCCGTGTTAGTCTGTTTCAGCAAAAGTAACAAGGAGTTCTGTGGCACCTTAAAAACTAACACATTTATTTGGGCATAAGCTTTTGTGAGCTGGAACCTACTTCATCAGATACATAAAGGCGAAACTTCAGTTTGGCAAGTAGAAATACATATGCAAAGATGAATGTGTTACATTAGTATGTGGAGGACCAGGGTTAATGAGTAATGTAACACACCCATCTTTGCATGTGTGTATATATATACCTGCCAAACTGAAGTTTCCCCTTCATGCAGCTCCTTAAAATTAGTTTTAATAACTTGAAGAGTTTGAGACTATTGTCATGCTTATCATTTCCAAAGGGTCAATTGCTTATACCTAAAGCAGAGTTCAGAATCAGATTGTTGATGGGGAGACATTAGAAAAGATTTCTAAAATAATTGTTTCTGTTTGGAAAGCAAAGTCCAACAGCTAAACTCTAACTGCTGTGGTAAACCTAAGTCCTTTTTACCAGCTGCTTCCACTCATTCTAAAGCAAGGGCATTGCATCATTACACTGGGTAATTTAAACAACATGTAATTTCCAGTCGCATTTCATAATGTGCATCTGTCAAAATTAATCTGAAACACATTGTGGATATTAATAAGTAACTTAAAGAAAAGGTTTGCTTTACTCACATTTTAAAAATGTCATATATTCAGTAAAAATGGTATAATTGTGTTATAAAAGTAAGTATTTAGATGTGTAAAGGCCTCCCATCAAATGAATGCTCTGGACACAGAGAATCCAAGTTTTGGTCACAAGCCTTTAGAATAGTATTAGGAGAGCAGCAGCATTTCCAAAAAAGCTACCTTGACCCAGAAGAAGGATAGCAACATTACAGCTACACATGTGGGAGTGGGGAAAGAACTGGGATAATCTTGGGGGTGTCACCCAAAGAAGTATTGATTTGTGGGTTTGTATTTCACACACATGATGGTAGATAATTGTATCATAAATATTGTATTGGCATGAGTTTGCATTGTTCTTGCTATTTACAAATGGCAATGCCACAAGTCAGTTGTAAAGGTCCTAGTAAGTCTTCGTGCCATTTTGCACTATTATGCATTGTATTCATGTGTCTCAACATTCCTGCGGAGCTGGGCCATCAGTCAGCCACCACCACTCTGGGAGCCCAGGTCTGTAGGCAAGAGTGATATAGTATGGTGGTATGGAGGAGTGGGGAAGTTCCTAGGCCCTGCTCCTCTGCCAGATGTGACTCTTAACCAGCAAGTAGAACAGGTTTATTCTTTCACAAGGATTCAGCATAGCACAGACTTGTTAACACAGGAATCGGAAGTAGTCAGTACAGTCCATCCTAGGGTGAGCAGGTAGGCCCACTCCCTGCATCCTAAACCAACTGAGAAAACACACACCCTCCACAACCAGTCACAGCCCCACAGACAGCCCCGCCTCCTCCTTTGTCCACTTCCTGGGCAAAAAGGTGTCACCTGATTGCATAGCCCTCTCCCTCCCCCATCTAGGCTCAGGTTACAAGAAAGCCTGAGCTCTTGTGTATTTGCTGAGCTGAGGCAACCTCCCCCTCAGTGAGAGTCACTCCCATCCCCAGCTGGGCACCAGTGCAGTGCCCAGGGAAACTGAGACAAACAGTGTTACAATAGAGCAGCACAGGATAGTAGAAATCACATACAACATAACAAATGAACAGAGAATACAGTCCCCACTTAGTCTCACATGGTGTTGCTACCCTTATTTCTGTACTGTTCTCCAAGCTGGACAGCTGGAGACTAAGAGCTGTCAGCTGGGTGCTTAGCTCTGAAGGCAGAATTGCAGCAGTGCAGAAGCAATGATCTCCCCCCCCCCCCCCAAATCCTTGTGACCACCATCCCTGCAACACCCCTTTGGGTCAGAACCCCTAATTTGAAAAACACTAGTCTCCCAATTAAATCTCTTTAGTATAGAGTAAAAGTATACGTAAGACCAGATCTCCAGAGGGGAGGGGCAGATTTCACAGTCATGCCACCTTTTCATGTCTGTGAATTGGATAAGACCCCAAAGAGAGAGAGAGAGAATAAATATGCACACATATAACCAGTATGATGGTGCTGAAAATACTGAGTCTTGTCAAATTGTACAGTAGATGTATTTATGATCACACAACTTAGTGGTTGTGTTGTTTCCTATTATTCCTTTATGGAAATTCAGAGTAGCATTATTTTGTATTTATGGCAGATTAGCAGAAAGCAGAATTGTTCCTGTATTTCTACATTCTTGTAATATGTGATGCTGTCATTCTGGCTGGACCCTCTTGCTTAACATAAATACATGCTTTCTTTTTCAGTTCAAATCTACACCAAGTAAAAATGTGTCAGTGGTAGGATGGATGGTGATGATGGCTGATGACCCAGAACATCCTGATCTCTTCTTGCTGACTGATTCTGAGAAGGGTGAGTTACATCAGGAATATGGTGATACGCATAAAAAAAAATTTCTAATTCACTTGACTTTATAACCACTTAATCTTTGTTAGGGATGCTCAAATACCAAAAAAAAAAAAAAAAAAAAAAAGCTTTGGACGGGATATTAAATCTTAGAGTTTAACCCAAATTTAGGAACGCCATAAGATTCCTAACTCCTGCTTTCCTAATTTAGAAGTTTTGTGACAGCTCAGCCTAGTGTAAATCATGTAGACTTTATTGAAATTTCAATTACCTCTAGATGCTTCAACATCCAGTCCAAACCATTCACCTAACAACCCCCCCCCCCTTCCCTTCCAAAGACAAAAACAAACCCTATACTATTCCTGACCAGGACAAGTTTGGTGTTACTAGACTAGGTAGTTTTGAAGATGTCATGAACTAACAAAACAACTAGGAAATATTAAAAAGGAAAGCCATCTCATAAACTGGGCTCCTAATAAAAATCCAGCATCAGCCTTAAGTATGGACAAACTATTAACTCTCTCTAGTATTTAAAAAAATTCAGAAAGGGTATCAAAAGTTGTTCTGGTTAACGTATTCTAACATATATAATATGTTTCCCAGTGACTTAAGTTTTTTTTTTCTTGTTTGTCTACCAAGTACTGAAGGATTGACATGAGTGAACATTTGAATATGCTGATTTATATGAACATGTGAACATGATTTGCATAATTGAAAATGAATATGACCTGTTAGAATCAAGGAAGTTCATTTTAATCCTTATATGAAAAATATTTCTAACATACCTCTTGTAAGAGGTAAAGCAAAATACAGCAGCACAGTATATGAATTATGCCCATTGTCAGTTCGTCTAAATTATTATGCAGTTTGGAATGGGGTCTGTCAATGTTCAGGTAAGTACACCCGTATTCCCCTTCCAGGGCCTAACAGATGTACCCATTATTAGGCTGCCAGCTGCCCAACCATCACCTCTCTTAGACAGAGACTTGTCTTTCTCCTGACCAAGCTATTTCCAGGTTGCACAGTTCCTTGCCTACACTGAATTCCACAGCAAGTCAGACTGCTTCAGCCAGCTTGCATTACCTTCTCTTCAGAAACTATAAACAATATAATTGCAGAGTTAAGTTACCACATAGTTCTTTCTGAGACAGCACATATATTCTTTAAGTAAAAAGCATTACAGAGAGAACATATTAAAAACAACAAAACAATGTATACACATGCTAATATTCTTACCAGCAATCGCCCCAATGCCATTAAGTGCTCTGGCAGGTGAACTGTTCTTCAGACCTTGCCAAGAGATTTGTCTGTGGTCGCAAGTTCATAACAGCTGTTAGCTCAAAACAATCACACTGATGAAAAGAATACTCACCCCTTTATACAGCCAGGATCTTTGAACTGGGAATAGATTATTTGTGTGCAATGGGTCTCTCCTCAGTTAGTAGCTTCAAAAGGTTGAGTGTTTACATAATCAGAGGAGATATTCGTATACTTTTCCCTAGAGATTTTTTTGGGAAATCCACTTAACTTTAAAAGTTCATTGTTTTGAATAGACCTTTGATGCTCATAATACTTCCTAGGGTTTACATTATTTATATCTCCCCTCTAGAGAGATTGTATACAATCTCACCATTATGCATAAACATTTTATAATGGACATCTAAGATACTTAAACTTAATTCATTAAGGTTTGTTCAGAATACTGCAGATAAGTACCTCATCTATCAGAAAGTCTCAGAAGGGTAGCAGTATTAGTCTGTAACTTTAAAAACGAGTAGTCCTGTGGCACCTTAGAGACTAACAAAAATATATATAGTAACATGAACTTTCATGAGCAAAACCTACTTCTTCAGATGCCCATGAAAGCTCATACTATATGTATTTTTGTCTAAAGTGCCACAGGACTTTTCATCTGTCAGAGGTACCATGGACAAAAAATACTTTTTAGACAACAGTCTAAATAATTTGATGGGATGTGAGAGGGAGGCATTTGGGGAAATTTTTGTTTTTATTGACATTTTAATAATTGGTTTGGAGGCTATGAAATTGTGGCAGAATATAGAGCCTCTTTTGTATGAAGTCAAATTATGTTGCTTAAATTAAGATCTGGGGTGGCATGATTGCAAAGTTATATGAATAGAATTATGTCTTTGCACTCTTCAATAATGTTTTAGTTTAGTATTTGTTTGAACTTAGGTAGAATTGAAGTACAGTACTGTATTTGTTCTTGTCTGATTTTTTGAAACAATTTTTTCCTATCCCTGTCACTGCAGGAAATTCATACAAGTTTCAAGCTGGTAACAGAATGAATGCAATGCTGTGGTTCAAACATCTCAGCGCTGCCTGCCAAAGCAACAGACAACAGGTGAGAACAATACAGGGAATTCCCAACTTATATATGGGTTGTGTTCCAAAAGTTCATTTGTATATCAGTTGTTTGGAACTTGGAGCACATTTTCCTGTAGAAATAATGTTATAAATGGTAGTTAAGTTCCCATAGTTAAATTCCTCAAAAGTATATTTAACCCATAATATAGCTGAAATACTCTATATTTGCAATGAAAAATAGTAGAAATATTGTTTTTATTTAACACTGAATGCTGGTACTTGAAGAAAGGCAGGTTTTAGTAGAAGAAGATGAAGTAAGTGCAGATCCTGGAGGGCACTTCGGGGCATCCCCAAACTGTCAACCCAGCCTTGTGGGCTCTGCACTGGTTCCTACTGTCAGCCCCCATCTCTACCCTTCCCATCCCATCCACTGTGAGCCCCCACTCACCAAAAGGTAGTGAGCAGGGGGCAGCCACGTAGTTGGCAGCTGGAGAAAAGCAGCAATTTTCCCCCATCAAAGCATTGCTTCTCTGCAGCTCCTAACTGCGCGACTACCCCCTGCTCCTCCAGAGTCCTTGGCCAGCACTTGTTTGTATATGCGGGTTGTTTAAGTCAGATATTTGTAAATCACGGAGTGCCTGTATTGTGAAAAGGAACTGAGAACTGCTCATGGGAACTTGGCATTAATAACTAGCTCTAAAAGAAGATTGAGTACTAGTTAGTCATTTTTAGGCAAAACAAGATACTCCTGCTGAGTGTTCCCTATAAGCTGTGCGTGGCTACTCTGAAGAAATACAGATGTCAATAGCTGATTAGCAGAGCATCCATAGCTAGGATTTTTGTTTTTACTGGTGGTGATATTTACTGGTGGTGATGATTTGTTTGATGCACATAAAAAATGTATTCCACGCATGAATGGAAAAGATTAAAGGAAACATTACTCTTTCCAATGCAGACAACTTGGTGATAACATAAAGACTGTATCCACAAACAAAGATTTAAGAAATTATTAGCATCAAATGAAGCAACTGGGCAATTTGGAGGGCAGCAGTCTATCGTCTTAATACTTCTCATATGTTGGCTGGGTTTTATGTTTAACATAATTTGCAGTAGTATATTAAAAGCAACATATGAGGCTATTATAAAGTAATAATCCATTACACTTTACTGGTAATTATCACTATTCTAAATTGTTGTAGTGTTTAGAATCAAGTCTGCAAAACTATGTGTAGTGTCATTTTGTTAAGTATTGGCTCCATAATATAAGTTCTAATTAAATTTTGTATTGCTTATTTATATTTCTAAAACTCATAAAGAAGCACCTGAGTCTGAGCTTAGGTGGCTAGCCTCTGCCTGCACCACCATGTCCCTGCTAGTTTTAGTTGATCTAGCACAAGCCTGCGTACCCAAGCTGATGAAAGCCTAGCTTTGAGCCTTAAGCTGATTTATGATGCCTATTATAGACACACTCATTCAGTGCTTCTGGTGCCTAGTAAAAGGTCACAGCCCCGACAAGTATTCAGTCTGCCTTGTCTTCTCTAGTCAGTCATACAAATATCAGGACAACCACCTCAAATGCTTAGAAGTCAAACGCTTTTTCAGGCCCAATATACAGAGTGCAGTATCAAATTTGGCACTGTCCATGCTGGGACATCTGTCCTAACTTTCACTGTGTAGACACACTCATTTTGAGGTATCAGTAATGGAAAGAGGGTAAGTTTGAGATGACTAATGACCTTGAAACAGCCCCTCAAATATCATATTTTCCAACTAAATGAATCTGAGTTCTTTGTGAACTGATTTCCCTTCCCTGAGTTTTACTGAGTCCCATTGTAGAGAGCTTAAACCTAGTACTTAGTCTGGTCCCAAGAAATCTCACAGGGTTTTTATTATTCTATATACCAAGTATCTCAGATTTATGGAGATCCCTTTTAAGCAAGGGTTTCATGAAACTGATAGGGAGCCTTTGGTCATCCCCAGATTCATTCTTCCAATTCTGAAACAGACAAAGTATCCCTCTGTACCATGTCACTGAAATTTTTTTTGAGTATTTTTACTTAGTGACCTTTAACTTTCATATAACCTTTCCAGCTGATGTGAGATGTACTCGAGAGTAGAACTACTCAAGAGAGATCTTAGAGTCATTGTGGATAGTTCTATGAAAACATCCACTTAGTATGCAGCAGCAGTCAAAAAAGCAAATAGAATCTTAGGAATCATCTTAAAAGGAATAGTGAATAAGATAGAGGATATCTTATTGCCTTTATAAAACCATAATATTGCATACAAATGTGGTCACCCCATCTCAAAAAAGATATATTGGCATTAGAAAAGGTTCAGAAAAGGGCAACAAAAATGATTAGGGGGTTTGGAATAGGTCCCAGATGAAGAGAGACTAAAAAGACTTGGACTTTTCAGCTTAGAGAAGAGGAGACTTAAGGGGGAGGAAGGATATGAGAGAGGTCTATAAAATCATGACTGGTGTGGAAAAAGTAAATAAAAGTTATTTACTTATTCCCATTATATAAGAACTAGGGGTCACCAAATGAAATTAATAGGCAGCAAGTTTTAAAACAAACAAAAGGAAGTGTTTCTTCATGCATTGCACAGTCAACCAGTGGAACTCCTTGCCAGAGGATGTTGTGAAGACTAGGACTTCAACGGGATTCAAAAAAGAGCTAGATGGACGTTAGGTCCGTCAATTGCTATTAGCCAGGATGGGTAGGAATGGTGTCCCTAACCTCTGTCTTAAATTGGATTATAGGAAAGGGATCACGTGATGATTTCCTGTTGTGTTCCCTCCCTCTGGGGCATCTGGTATTGGCCAAATATATATATTTGGAGGGGAGAGCTACACTGAACGTTTTAAACTTGCAGGGTGTGGGTTCTGAAAAGATGAAGCAATAAAAATCCAATTCTGAAATTAAAAATCAGATGATATTTGTTTTGTTTTTTTTGTTTTCAGGTTCCTGCCAACTTGATGACTTTTGAGTAAAAAAAAAAAAAAAAAACTAATTCAAAACATGAAAGAGAACAATTTGATGAACTGTTTGTCTCATAATTTGAGCATGACGTCTTGAAGAAAGCGTGCCAGCTGTAAATTTATTTCTGTGCTTGAACAGAACCTACAGGCTCAATCTCTACAACAGAGCACTAGCAGTTTGGGGAATGGATTCCCCTGAGCGAAAAATGAGTTGCAACATGAACTGCCATGGACCATGTTTCTTAATATTTTCTGAACTGACCTGTGGAAACCACTGCCTTAAAGAGTGAAAGGAAAACCAACATGAAACACCAAATAGCGTGTGTGAAACTTATGGCGGTGTTGTGCTTGGGTTAAATAGATTGTAGCTAATTTGTGTTTCTTTTAACTTTATACTGATTTGGGAAATACACCTTTTTAGATATTCTTTAAAAAGGGTATAACCATATTTCTTCAGGGTTTCATCAACAGCTGGGTTTAGACTGGGGACAGAGGTACTTACACATTCTAGGGATGTTGTTTAGACTATACTACCAGCCTTCAATTGGAGCTTCTCTGAGGCTCACTAGATCTTGGAGTATCATTAATTCTTTCAGACCTAGAGTAAGAGAGCTGTAACAAATGTAACATTTTTGTTTGTTTCTGTTTTTGAAGTACTAAACTTGGTAACCTAACTGTTGAGGAACCTTGCTTCCTGCCAGTGGCACAAAGGCTGTGTGTCAATACAGCACACTTATTCTTATAAGCAGGATAATGATACATGCTTGTCTAATTCCTGGTTGAAGTATAGTCTGATTTTTTTTTTTTAAGTGGGCGCAGTGAAGTGACATCAGGTCAGAACTGAGTGTTTTCTTCCCATTGTATTTCTACACGGGTTACTTTCCTCCGTGTGATGGTTCCTCTATACAATAGACACTGGATATAACTCACAGGTGTTTTACTTCTCTGGAGGCATGTTTGCCTAGTTACAGTTAAAGGTAGGGAATAGCAGAAGAGCTTCTTTCAGGGTAAGATGCTTCCAAATATCAATTTTATAAGAATTTTCCTTAATTAAGGAGCAAAAATAGGGTGGACTATATAAACAAAACCTTCTTATATATGAGTAATTCTTTGTCCCTAAATTTATTCTCCCAAAGTATTTAAAATCTCAAACTGGAGGACAAATTCAGTGTGTTCTATACGTTAAATTTTCATTCATGCCTTATTTTGTGGTGTTACCTAATTGTAGACTCTTGTACACGAAGCCCTATTTAACATTCAGAACATTGATCTTTATAAATATGGAAGAAATTCCAATATTGTCCAGAAAAACTTATTGAAAAAGTGGTAGGTATTCCATGGACATTGTAATCCTAAAGCAGTAAATAAGCTTGCAAGGCTTTCTAAAACTATTCTGCGGTCTCTGGTAATGAGTTCTTGTCATAATCTTAAATGTTTCCAGAGGTTGTAGTTTGTTTGGTAATGAACATTCATTTACTAAATCAGGGTGAGGGGATGGAATTTCACACATTAAAATTCCCAGAATCAATATCACATATTCTTAATGGAAATCATTAGTTTGTTTGTGGCAGAGGAGGAAGGTTGCTGTCCCTATTGAGAAAACAAACTAGCATAAAGAGAGGACTATTCTGGAGAAAGGGAGGTGGAATTTTGTGGCATTTCCAAGTGTTATAAAATCTGTTCTTAGTATAAAGAGGATATAGCAGATGCACACTTGTGTCACACTTACAGCAAAGCTAAAAATAAGTTTTGGTTTAGTGACCCCTTGTATATCTTTTTCTGTGGAGGTTGCTCATGCTGAATCACTTTTCAGTTCACATGTCACTTAACCCATGTTGGGTGTGTAGCACAGCCAACAGTATTACTGTACAGTAATAGACTTTGCACAGCTTTAGTTTTGCATTTTTAAAATTACTTAGCGTGTGTTTCTTTTCAAAAGTGTTTTTATCAAAATGTATGTAATTTTTTTAAGCATTGTGTATGGTAAACCTGTGGATTTTGAAATTTTTAATAAGCTAATTTAGATGCATTATGGGTTAACTATATCTATTCTTATGTTAGTGATAGGAAACTTGCATCTGGGAGCCACACCCTGACATCACATAGCTTTGCTAAAGACAGTCAGGTCAGAGGGTGTTTTTGTTCTTTGCATTTATCCATTTTTTTTCTTCTGTTTTTATAGTATGTAATGTAAGATGGGGAAAGCAGTGCAGAACCCTTGTCAGCAGTTGTCATTGGATGAGTCATTGCCTGTCACTGTTCTCTGCCTATTTAGACTTTATATATCATTTTGATCTTTATATTTCTAGCCTCAAATCTCTCATTTTTCATGGGAGAGCTGTTAGAAAAAGAAGCCTCCTAAAAGGTTTAGGGTTAGCAAGAGTAATAAGAGAAACAATGATTAGTGAAAGCATTTTTAAGATGCAACCTAGTATCAGAGGTTCAATACCTTGTTCTGTTTTATCCTGTATTAAATTCTTCAGAGGGTCACGTTAACACTAAAATTTCACTTTTTGAATTGGAGGATTATTAGGGAAAAGTTGTGATTTTTTTTTTTTTTTAGTGAGAAGAAACCGGTCACAAAAAGCTTAAATAGAATGACAACTCCTCAAGTCAGCTATGAAGAGCACAGTAATCCATCAATACGGCAGCTAGACAGAAACAGGTGAAGATGCACTATTCAGAGTATCAGTTGGTTGTGTTTTTTAGTTTATCTTGAAATGTTTTGCTTTTTTATTTTCATTAATTGTTGAAATTTTGGAGCTCATGTTCATAACTTTATTTTGTTTTATTTGTATCTTTGATTGAAAGGAGGTCTTTTGAGATGTCTTGTAAAACAAAAGATCCATCATTATAGGAATGTGGACAAAAATAGCTCAGAGTAGATCTTCCTGGATAGATTCTATATACATGTTGATCATCTGCTGATTGATATACTGCAAAGACACGTTTCACAGTTAAACTTCCTACCTGATTTTTAGTTTAAATACCAATGGAGAATTCACCCAGTTTAGAGAATTAGTTGGTGGTGAGCCTAAATGTAATGCATTTCTAGCACATCTCCAGCTGTCGTAAATTAAAGTACTAAATGCTATCTTAATGTTAACTTTATAACTTCAGTTTAATTTCCGTGTTCTTAAAGAGCTAATATTAGTCACAATTGATTTTTCAAAATGGGAGCCATACATTTTACGTTAATCTAGGTATGTGCTTCATTTTACAAATAATTTCGTATGGAAAATGCCATTGGAACATTTCCCAAGTTGCTCTGATTTCAGTTAAGTATGTGTCAGATGGTTTTATTACCCAAATTTTAACCTCTCCTATAAGGAATTTTTCAAAGATTCTAAAAGGGAGATACCACTTCAATAAAACCTGAAAAGGAAAAAACTGGAAATCGTGGCAGGGTGATCTTCACTTCCTCAATTCTGTACTGTTTCATGTGCCCCTTTGGGGAATAGACTAACTTTCTCCCCAACTCAGCTGTTATAAAAGAATTTGCAGCAACTTTATTGCTGCTAATGATACATTTACTACTGAAAATGAAAACATATAAGAGAAACAGGAATACAACAGGGCTACATCATCTTATTTTTGTTGATTGAAGCTAACTATGTCATTTAATGCAAATCTGTTCCGAGTCAGGATAAGATAAATCATGTGATGGTGTTTTTCTGGCTCTTGCAAGTGGAATTTTTCTTCATTCTTCTTCCTCTTGTATTTTCTTTCATTCATTCATAAGCAGTAGTAGACCTAATCTTTCCATGGCTGTCTTAGTATACTGCCTATTCTAAGCTTCAAAACACTGGAACTGGTACTAATTCACACCAATGAGTTGTTTGTTCTTGCTACAAGGTCAACTTTTAAAGGCATTGTTATTTAAATACTGACGTTTTTTCCTTTCCCTAAAAATGGCTTGTGTCTAAGGTGAACAGATCTGGCATTTGGGAGAATGGTAATTGAAGGAACTACTTCGATGGATATAATTTAACTCGTTTCTGGTCAATGTCAAAGTGTTTGATCTGAGAGAGACTTATTCTCAGTTTGAAGTCCAGTTCTGTTGTTCTAGAGCTGAAAATACGGTAGCAGCCACTGGACCAATTTACTTTTTCCCTGATTTCTGCAGCGTGTAACCGCTTTCCCATTATTTTTACTTTCTAACAGAAAGAATTGCGTAAGTTTGGTCTGCTAAGATAGATATAATTTAAATTGCTAAAATATTTTTTGGGGTTTGATCCTTTTTTTAGTAGAAAGAAGCAATTGACAAATTTGTCTGTAGCTTTTATTGGAACTATCTAAACCATCTTGTAACAATTTTTCTTTAAAATATGAAAAATGTGGAATGTCTCGCTTGAAGACAAAAATTAACAAGAACAAATAAGAGCACTCAGAGTAATTTCTAGAGTTCCCCTTGCTAAAAATTAGGATTCTCCTTCTTTTACTCGTTTGAAGCAGAATGCTGTACAAACATGAAAGGACTATACTTAGCAACGTTTTTATTAATTTAGAATAAATATCAAAGGGAAAATGAAAAATAACCTGAACAAACTGTATATTATACCCTTTCTTGACATGAGCTCAAATTGTTTGCACAGAGGTTGTTCCTAACTTTCCCTGCAAGAGATTTGTGAAAAGTGTATATCTTGAGGGAGAAATTAATTAAACTTTCACAGACTGGGTTTTTTTTAAGCAATGAAAGCCATATATAGTAGAATATTCATTTTCCTCTTAAGACATTATGGTAGTAAACACAGAATTTCTACACTGCAATGCTTCTAACTTTAGATATTTGAAAGGGAAAGCATACCTAGTGCAGACATCAACCATAAAGGGTTCTTCAGTGACAATTGAAAGAATTAGTCGAAGGTTAAGAAAGCAGTTTTGAGTCTAGCCATACATATTACAGAACAGAGTTGAGGGATTTTCTCAAGGATTTTTACTATATAAAAGTGCCACAATGACATATAGACTTCTGCAGATCAGACAACTGTAGCTAATTGCTGGAGCTTTTCCTAAAAAAGCCAGGATAAACATGAATA